ATGTGTGACTCACAGAAAACATTCATGTGTGTGACTCACAGAAAACATTCACATGTGACAGAAAACATTCATGTGTGACTCACAAAAAACATTCATGTGTGACTCACAGAAAATATTCACAGTCTTATTTGTAACTCAGTCAACAACTAATTCCACAACTTTTTGAATTATGTAGCATTCTTGGCACTGCTTGATAATTATGAACAAGAGACTGGCCTAGCAGAGGAAGTCACACCGGAAGAGTTCAAAGAGAATTGGAAGTTCATCAATGCTATAATGAAGACCAATGTATGTCAGTGCATGATAATTTTTAACTGAATTTTAAAACCACCAGATATCCGAATTTTAAAACCACCAGATATCTGAATTTCAAAACCATTGCATATCTGAATTTCAAAACAATCAGATATCTGAATTTCAAAACCACCAGATATCTGAATTTCAAAACCACCAGATATCTGAATTTCAAAACCACCAATCAATCCCTCAACCAATCATAGACTGTGCTTCAGACAATTTTATATTAAGGTGCTTCCTAACTGGTTGACATATACCATCAGAGCTGTCTTGGGCTGAATAGAGCGATTTTTATTCAAATTGAATTATTATCAAGATGTGTTTTTCTTGTTTCTTATATAAACCAGGTGATGCAACTAGCTCATAAAATATTAGTTTCTAAAGACAAGGCAGTAGATGATGTCGGAGCATTTAAAGAACAACTTTATGAAATGTGGTTTCATCTTTATCGAAGAACCAGGGGAGTCAGGTAAAGATTGATATATGTGAGGAAATGATTAAGTTAAATGGGGAAATCAAGATAGGTGAGGAAATCATTGAGTTAGGTGAGGAAATCATTGAGTTTGATGAGAGGATCATTGATTTAAGTCAGGGAATCATTGAGTTTGGTGAGGAAATCATTGAGTTTGGTGAGGGGATCATTGACTTAAGTCAGGGAATCATTGAGTTAGGTGAGGAAATCATTGAGTTAAGTCAGGGGATCATTGAGTTTTGTGAGGGAATCATTGAATTTGGTGAGGAGGCCATTGACTTAAGTCTGGGAATCATTGAGTTAGGTGAGGAGATCATTGAGTTTGGTGAGAGGATCATTGACTTAAGTCAGGGAACCATTGAGTTTGGTGAGGAGATCATTGAGTTTGGTGAGGAGATCATTGACTTAAGTCAGGGAATCATTGAGTTAGGTGAGGAAATCATTGAGTTTGGTGAGGGGATCATTGACTTAAGTCAGGGAATCATTGAGTTAGGTGAGGAAATCATTGAGTTTGGTGAGGGGATCATTGACTTAAGTCAGGGAATCATTGAGTTAGGTGAGGAAATCGTTGAGTTTGGTGGGGGGTCATTGACTTTAGTCAGGGAATCATTGAGTTAGGTGAGGAAATCAATGAGTTTGGTGAGGGGATCATTGACTTAAGTCAGGGAATCATTGAGTTAGGTGAGGAAATCATTGAGTTTGGTGAGGGGATCATTGACTTAAGTCTGGGGATCATTGAGTTTGGTGAGGAAATCATTGAGTTAAGTGAGGGAATCATTGAGTTTGGCGAGGGGATCATTATGTTAGGTGAGGGGATCATTAAGTTAGGTGAGGGGATCATTGGGTTAAGTGAGAGGACCATTGAGTTTAGTAAAAAAAAATGATTGAGTTAGGAGTGGGAATCATTGATTCAGATGTGAATTTGACAAGAATTTATCGTAGAGAGTTGTGTGAGAAACCCATATATTCTGATTGTGACTGAAAGTGTATACTTAATGGATTGACATTGTTCAGTACATTGTTGCCAAGTAACTGGAGAACCTGAAATTTGGTTTTAATTTGTGGTATTCAAGCAGGTTCTGTTTATATTAGATTAGATGAGGTAGTCTGCCCCTCTCTAATGTGCCACATTCATGACATACATTGTATAATGTATGTATTTTAATAGGAATTTTGACTCTTCTGGATTCGAACATGTGTTTGTTGGTGAGACCCGTGGTGGTACAGACGATGTGATGGGATTTCATAACTGGATTCAGTTTTATCTTCAAGAACGCCGTGGAAACATTGATTACAAAGGATGGATACCACCACGAGGAAGAGTAAGAATTTTTATGATTATGTTAAAAAACTTAAAGTGTATGCACACCATTAAAAGGGGTCAAAGGCCAATCTGTTTTGTTTTCCATAGTGCTATAGTGTCAAAAGCTTACATGATTCATTTAGAAAACAATATGGACCACAGTAATGCAAGAAATTATCAGGTTGGGATGTGTTGCTAGTGCTTGTATTATTAGACATACTGTACATGATAAAGATGATTATTACATGGCAATGAGACACATTTATCTTCCAAAGTAGACAGTGATCACAAAAAAAAATACTTGAATGAATTACCATACTCATCAAACTTAGGTTGGGTTCGATTAGTGCCCACCCCAATTAACTTCTGGGTGATTTCCATTTTTGGGGTTGGGTTTGATTAGTGCCCTACCCCACTTGGGTGATTTCCATTTTTGGGGTTGGGTTTGATTAGTGTCTAACCCCACTTGGGTGATTTCCGTTTTTGGGGTTGGGTTTGATTAGTGCCCAACCCCACTTGGGTGATTTCCATTTTTGGGGTTGGGTTTGATTAGTGCCCAACCCCACTTGGGTGATTTCCGTTTTTGGGATGGAGTTTGATTAGTGCCCAACCCCACTTGGGTGATTTCCATTTTTGGGGTTGGGTTCGATTAGTGCCAAACCCCACTTGGGTGATTTCCGTTTTTGGGGTTGGGTTTGATTAGTGCCTAACCCCACTTGGGTGATTTTCGTTTTTGGGGTTGGGTTCGATTAGTGCCAAACCCCACTTGGGTGATTTCCGTTTTTGGGGTTGGGTTTGACTAGTGCTCATCCCAACTAACTTCAGGGTGATTTCTGTTTTGAGGGATGTGTTCGATTAGTGCCTACCCCTTCTAAAAGATCCCAAATTAAAATTAAGTCATGAAACTCCGTCATTGAACATTGTTTCATTTTCCCCAATCATTATAGTGTGTAATATGACTATCATGAATGGAGTGTTAACAGGTAAACTACAATTCAACTTGAATTGTCGATGGTTGTGAACGGTGTTAAGTACTTCTTTCACACTCAGTTTATCTGTGGATCACCAGTTTTAAAAAAAAAAAATCAGTGCCAACAGATATTTAAAGATTGGTAATTCACTTTCACATTGTGTTGTTAAAAAAAAAGCAATCATCATTTATTTATTTATTAACACACAACATCCCCCGAGGGGATGAAAAGGGTTACAAATCAGATACATGTATTAGTGAAAGAAAAAACTACATGAAAAGTAAAGAAACAAAAAATTATAAAAATTTGTATATAAGGAAGGTGTTACTGGCTTAGTTTATGAAGGCGCTGCTGTCTTATAATAAAACAGTTTTTTAAATATTGTGCTAAAGGAATTGAAATCAATATTTGGAACGTGTCAGGTCAAAGAGAAAAGGTCAAAGAGCGTTTATGCCAGTCAAATCATGCATTGAACTATCATGGCGGAAATTACTTGGAGAGTTTGTGTACAATAAAAAACATGTTTTTCGAGCCGCATACCCTGAGCAATTCTAGAAGTAAAATACTCCTTTCAATGGCTTACAATAACTATGTATTTTCAGTTAACAAAATAAGAGGAATTCAAAATTTTGACATGACTTTCTGAAGATGGAGATTTCCTGAGAGAAAGTTTATAAGTTATACCTGTATATTGGTTACTGTGATAGTGTGCACTTATCTCTGTTGTAATCAGTTCGTAATCGTAGATCTGCCGATGTGTAGTTCTTGTTGAACTCTCATGTTGTGAGATTTGGCTTCTTGCTTATTGGCCATTCTTGAAAGCAATCTGAAATTTGCCCTTAACGTTGCATAAACCCAGAGTTCCCTAGGATGGCTCCATTTCATTTTATGTCCTGTGATCTTTCCACCTACACATGTCCCGTATTCACTGACAACAAACATCAATATCTTGACAACTTTTTGTCATCGCAAATTGCAGACCATAATGCATGAAATAATCTAATTAGGCATAAATATACTGATTCAAAGTCACAGATTCTAAAATTAGTTGACAGGTCAACACAATAATCAACACCACATTGAACAGTGGCGCTATTCGCATCACAATTAAAAGAGACATGGTGCAAGCATTCCCATGCTAAATTCTGGATGGAAACTCAGAATTCAAATACTAAATCATAAAGTTGATATTTACGGCGAAACACGCAATTGGCCCCCTAGGCTAGCCATAATATAGTTAGCGATTTTGCTAGATCTACTAATTGCTAATTCTGAATTCCTAGAATAAATCGCCTGTATCCCAGTTAAAGCCATTCTTTACATATGGAATTTATTTTCGATGTTTAAAACATTGTTTTTACAGTACAACTCAGTTTGTAGTCGCGGTTTTCTCATGCTGCCATAGAATGGTTATAGGAACTCCCTAGATCACTAAATTGTTTTAGACTTAATTACGTTACTCCCTCACAGTCCAAACTGAGAAAGCCTCATAAATGGCAGCATGCCAAGACATATAGTTTAGCCTGCACAGTTTCAACCCAATAATATTTACAAGTCAAATTCTTCAAGGTACTGTCTCAGGATACATATATAATGCTGTACAAGCAGTAAAATTCCTGTATTTTCTTTTCCTTTTAGCGGACTAAACAAAGCGAAACAAAGGCTTTGTTAACTTTGTTAATTTTGTCTGCAACTAACGCTGGGCAGAATTAAAAATCTGATTTGTGCAACATTATTTTATTATTTATTCAGAAATCCAAGAAACCAATAGATAACCCAAGATTGATCAGCATTCAGTTCAGCTGGAAACAAGATGTAAAAGCTGTTGGCAGTACATTCATTGGTACAAGTCCAGAATTTGAAATGGCGCTGTACACAGTGTGTTTCTTGCTAGGTAAAGATAACAACCACTTTGAGCTTGGAGACTACCAGTTTGAAATCGTTGTTCATCGCTGGGGTAACAAACTTGCATCATGTTTTCCAATACTGAAATAAACTATGTTAACATGAGTGAATTTCTTAAGGACATGTTGTGAAATATTGCAATAAACCTAATCTAACAACATATATATTCAACAGATTAAAAGTAGTATAAGTGATCACCTGAGTAGATATTGTCATGGTGTTTTAGTATGACACTCTCAGATATGGTCCATTTCTTGTAAATGTCACAAGGCTGAAGTGGATAATGTAAAAACACTTAGAGAAAAAAACAAAAGGTTTAGGTGAGGAATATTAAATGAGAAAGTAGTGGAGTTAGGCAATACATATAAGGTGGAGTTAGGCAATACATATAAGGCAGAGAAATCATGAGTTTTGACGAGAAATCAATAGTTAGGTGTGAAATTGAGGAGGGAGTTAGGTGAGAAATCAAAAGTTAGGGGTAGAAATTGATAGGTTTAGGACAGAAATTGACAGAGTTAGGTGAGGAATCAATAATTAGGTGAGCAATTGAGAAGAGAGTTACGTGAGAAATCATCATTTGTTAAAATATTTTCAATTCCTCCCACTAACGACAAGGCATTGAAGCTCTTTCATCAAATGTATGAAGATGTAAACATTGCTGTGGTACTGTGCAGTATTCATGAGACATCCTCATGTAATTGTGCCTGTTCTT